AAAGGGAGATATTTACATTATTTAATTGTTTGTGTCATTTGAGGGTTTTCTGAGTTTCTGGAGGGATTTAATTATGCTAATATAGTCAGCAGTGAAACTGACAAAAGGCTTTCTGTGTGTGTGTGTGTGTGTGTGTGTGTGTGTGTGTCAGTGACTGTGAGATTTCTCCCTCTGATATCAGAAAGAAAAGAGTCTTTCACTCTCCGGCACAGCCTTGCAATAACACTGTAGCTTTCCTCCATCTCTCCTCTCAATGCTTCCTGCACTCTTCCATCTTTATCCCTCCATTTTTCTTCTTCTCCTGTTTCCTGCTTATACTGTAGTCTCACATCATCCCCGGGTTTTGTTGTAAATCTTCCATTTGTAAAACTTTTTGCGTGACGCAGATCCCTGACCTCTTGACCCTGACAGCATGCACACACAAGCAAAAACAGCAGCCTTTAATTCATTGAAGGTCCTGGGAGTGTAAGTGGTATTATACTGTTGAAGTGCATTTATGCATGTGAATTATTGATGTTTTTGCAGGTGTGAATTAAGTGTGCGTGAAGATGATGTGAAAATTAGCTTAGAGGAGGCGTTTTGTGTGCAGAGGGGCGATATAAAAGCAGATGTAACTGTAATTTTCCTCCTTAAAGACCTGATATTAAGCAGTGAAGGATTCTTAAAGATGGTTTAAGTGTGTAAACAACAACATAAAAAGATTCTTTCAGAGATGATTGGTTTCAGGCTGCTGAATGTAACACCCGACTTGTGTGTTCTCAGTGGTGTGAGTGTTATGTCATCCAGCCTAACACACACATGTTGGTCTCTTCTGCCCCACAGTGGTAGCAACAAACTTTCCCACAAGAGACATGTCTGCTTCACACAGTTTCTTTTCTCACTTTTTTCTGTTTTAGTTAATCTATTATTGTAATTTCCTTTTCGCAACTGTGAGAAACTATAAATAAGTAAACGCAACATCCAGTTTCTGCTTTTCTGCAAACTAAAGTGCTCCATTCCCATTAAAGTGGGAAGCTGGAAATCCCAAACAGGCTTTTATTTCAGGTTTTATCTCAGCTTTGTCAAGTTTTAAGGTTCCCATTTACATATGCTCATCCTCTCAATACTTTGAAATAATAGGTCACTAAATTTCCTCCCTGTGAAAACAATCGTGTTAAACTGTCCATTACTTTCCTTTTGTGGTACTTTGGTGTTTCGTGCTTAACGTTGTCAGAAACTATCAGCAACATCTCAAAGAGCACAGCACTGACAAATTAAAACCTGGCTTTTATATAATCATTTTATTATATAACTACTATATAACTGCACAGAAAATCTTGATGATAATTCAAGTAAAGGAGCATATTTTGCATTTCATCAGTGTCTGTAAAGTTTGTGAAGTTGTTCTGTGGACAAGTCATCGTGATGATAAAAGTTGTTCATAATTGTTGTTTGTTGAATCACTTTGTCAAACTCTTGGCAATATTAGCATGTTTTTGCTGAATTTGAAGCACAGAACATCACAACTCCCATGTCTGTGCGTGTGTAGTAGCTTTAATTAACTTGGAAAATGTACAAACCTTAAATTTTCAGTGAATTTTCTTGTTCAGTGTTGAAACTGTCAGAGTCTGACTCTCATCTGAGTGCAGGCCATAATCTTGGGACAAAAAGGACTCTGGGTAACGTAGTCAGTGCATAGCACTAACTAAACTACAGTGGAAAGTACCGGACGGTTAGTCGGGATCTTGAACACACGTCCATCGCCTCATGTTATCTGGTAATTGTGATGTTCAGGAAATGACAAACAAAGAAAGACTCACTCCTCGTCTTTAAATCAGTGTGTTAAATCACATGAACTCAAATCAACACGACAGTCAGAACAGTCTGAGGCGGTGAAGTTTTTCACCCCACAAATAGAGCATCAGATTTGTTGTGGTTGTGTGTTGTTTTGTCTCGAGGTTGCTAGGACCAAAAACCTCAGCAGCTTTTTCAGAGGTGACATGATAACTTGACCACAGAGTCAGACGCACAGACACTCACACAGACACTCAGGCACAGACACACAATTCTCTGCGAGGTGAGAGCAGCTGTGGGACCCCCTGCCTTTTAGTGTGCAGCCTGAATCATGCTGAATCACTCTGTAATGTCTCTTACACACACACACACACACACACACACACACACACACACACACACACACACACACACACACACACACACACACACTCTCCCCTTGTGTCCAAAGCTTTTGAACGCACCGTCACAGTCAGCAGACATCACTCAAAGATAGCCGATAATAAATATCACAGACAGGATGCATTGCTCACTCATGGCAACAGAGGTAAACACGCATACACACTCACCTTCTCAACACGGGTGCACACTCGCACTCACAGACACACACACACACATCATCATCATCATCAACAAATTCTGCCAGCGTGTGCACCCACTTAGAAAGTTATATGCATGTGTGCATACTAATATATATACATACAAAAATCTATTTTAACATGCTAAAATGGTAATGCAGAGAATGCACACAGGAAGATGGTATGGTATCTCCCATGTGGTTTCCTTCTGAGTGTGAGGCAACCACACACACACGTGGCATACACACATTTCCGTCCTTTTAGTCCCATTTCTTTTATTTACTGCTTTTCTAACGGCGCACTGAGCAACGGCTACAGTCTGGTCGCTTGTTTCAGGGGAATGGAATTCACTGTTAGAGTGTCAGAGAGCGAGCGAGGTTAAAACGCAGCGAGAGAGAGAGAGGGATAGGGGGGAGAGGGAGGGCATCTGAATGGAGAGAGGGACTCAGAAGTTTGTAGCTGCAGGAGTTTGTGTAGGAAGTTGAGAGATGCTGCTGGAGGAAGGAAGGGAAGAAGTGAAAGCAGGCCAAGGATCGTCATGATTCTGTGCGCGGACCGTAGAAGGCTTGTGTGAATCTGCGTGGATGCTGTTAGCGTTGGGACGTAACCTGGAGGGATTCAGTTGTTGGACTTTCAGGAACTTCACTTGGTTGTTATTTAAGTGGTATTTTGTGGAAGTTCAGACAGACTAGGAGCACTTTGTCATCGCTCGGTACGACAAGATGGATTTTCTGTCAGACCCTGATGTCATAACGCCAATCCTGGTGGTGGCTTTTCACTTTCTGACTGCAGCTGGGTTTTGGTACTACCGCCGCCGCCGCCGCCGCCAGATGCCCATCACTGACGCAGGTAAATGGTCACTGTCGACTACAGTTTTCCTCCTCCTCACTGCTTCAGTTCTGACTTATATGTCAAGATCCATGTGCTTCCTGTTTAGGCTCCGCCTCTTCTGCTTCTTTGTTAGCATGTCAGTGTCTTTTCCCCCCCTTTATATTAGTACCTTTAGTGTTTTCTTGGCTTGTAATGGGTGTTTGTATTAACCGTGCAGTTTTTCCAATTTAGCTTTACTGGAATGTAAAGCAGCTTGTGCTGTAAGAGCATGAAGGTTCGTCCTGTTTCATCTCCTGTTACACTGAGACACTTCATGCTTTTGTGCTGCAGGGACTTTATTGTTGTATCTACATGAGTCAGTGGAGGAGAATCCATGAAAAAGATGTTATATCGTCACATTTATGTGCATCTTCAGCTGCTTGCATGAGCTATGCTCTGTGTTTAAATCTTCATACTCTACAGTAAACAATGAAACGCTGTGCTGCCAGTAAGCTGCTAAGTTTGGTCATGTGTCCAATTATTCATACCTTTGTCTTGCATTAGGGAAATTCCTTTTGGGTTTTGTAATGTAGCCTTGGTGCTAACGCTCCTTTAAAGCCTGCTCGAGTTGCATAATTAATACTGTACCTGTCTAAAGTCTGGGATGACTACATCGTTTTGACATATTGATGGTAACCTTTACACTCACGCTCAGTAGCTGCTGTTCTGTCAAAGCTTGTGTCTCATGAGCGGAAAAACTGAACCAATTTCTATGTTTGGTTTTGGGACTGTGGCTAATTTTATCTGACTGCGGTGACTGACTGGGATTCACAAGCGGAGCAGTATCTGCCATGATGTCACAGTGTGAATCAATGAGGTCGATCGGTACTGGGGGGGTGAGGCCAGATCATCTCTGATCACCGATTGAGTTGTGGTAAGAGAGAAAAGCGGGCAGTGAAAGGGCCTGCGGGAAACATGGCCGCTATGAAGATAATTAGCGATGGAAGGTGGCCAGAATATGGTTGAACTCATTTGCTTTCACTTTGGTTTAGCACAGGGGTCGGCGACTCCAGGCCTCGAGTGCCGGTGTCCTGCAGGTTTTAGATGTATTCTCGATCCAACACAGTTGATTCAAATTGCTAAATTACCTCCCCAACATGTCTTGAAGTTCTCCAGAGGCCTCAAAATCAACTAATCGTTTGATTCAGGTGTGCACTCCAGGCCTGGAGTTGCCTACCCCTGGTTTAGCATATGTGGTCTGGCATTTACCTGCTGAAATAAGCAAAGTTTTTACTGAAAAACCCCCCTGGATGGTTATTGATGGATACAAAAATATGAGGTGTGATTAGATAATTAATGCTGCTAAATAAGCAAGATACAAGATATGTTTCCTTACACATATGTAATATTTCCTTTGAGTGCACTCACCCTCTGTATGGCTGCAAGGCGGTGAAAGTGTGACTTTCTCACCGTGTTTTGATCTTTTTGAAGCTCATTCAAAGATGGATGTGAGCGGAATTAGGTGTAAGTGTCACTAACAGATAATACGTCTCATAACACATAAAAGGAGTGTGAACACTTGGCTGTCTGCGTTTAGGTGCGTGCAGTAATTCGGTTAAATGTGGGTCTCACAATGACTGTGCACTTGTAGGAATGCAACTACTTTAGTCATTTGGAGATGTTGGACGTTATGAAGCATCATATTTGACTTTCATGTTTCTTGTTGTTTCCAGTTTATAGAGGAGCTGCTACTGTGTAACACAGCTGCTCTGTGTGTGTGTGTGTGTGTGTGTGTGTGTGTGTGTGTGTGTGTGTGTGTGTGTGTGACTTGTGACAGGAAACTCAGCGTTTCACAGTGATAGGCCAAGCATGCCAGGGTGTGTGGATGCATGGGTTTTTATATAGAAAGTACATGATGTGGTAAAAGTTGACATACTACTTAAATGTCAGTGGTTTATGCTTTCTTTGAAATTACTACGCTTCTTATTGAGCGCAGCGTTTGTTGTTTACGGCGTACAGCCTGTCCAACAGCGTAACATCAGTAAATAATAAATAAGGCTTCAGTAGATTTAAAAACCTGCACCAAGGACGTGAAGTTAATAATCTGTCTGTTTGTTAGGATTACTCTGGGTTGAATGAAAAGAATTAAAGTGTTACCAAAGTTGTTTAGTAGTAGTATTTTACTAGTAATAGTTTAGCTTACCTTATATTCAATTTAATTATTTTGAATATATCAGGATTTAGAAGCTTTTAGAAGGATTCTTTGTGAGGATGGGGCAAACTGTTGTTGTTCTCAGGACAAAATGACAAAGGGACTCAATGCATTTATGATTTGGAGGGAGATGAAGAGTCAGGTCTTTTGTGGAAAATCTTCCAAAAAGTTTGAACTTTCACAAAACTGCTCGGCTTGTAATTATATGACCGATCTGTCTGTCACCATCTACCAGAGGCAAATTGTAACCAGTTAGATCTGGATCTACAAGCTCTGTAAGCACACAAACAATGTGTCTAGATAAAAGTGAAAATGTGTGCATAAGTCACCGTAAAAATAACTAAATATCTAAAACCTCCCATGGCTGCAGCCATATTGGACTGTAGTTCTTCATAGTTAGCTGACTGGTCTGAATCAGCTCTGCTTTGCTTGTAAATGCTGAAGCCTGCTGGAGTGATTTCCAGTTGTCAGAAAAAATGAAAATTCAATCGTCTCACTGTAAAAAGCAAACGTACTAAATTGAAAACAAGTTAAAGCAATATCTGCTTTAATGTCATGACCACTGAACAGGATGATGAAGTCTTTATTTAGATGTGGGTCGATAACAAAGCCACAGTGACCCTGAATCAGCTTCACTTCCTAACAGGGTTTTTAGATTCACTCTGACCCGAGCAGATACAGTTTGTAAAACTAATTTGAATTGATTAAAGTCACGTGTAGAAACGTTGAAGGTGCTGATCTAACACGCATCTGTGTAGTATTTAATGCACAGTAGGAGTCCAGGAGTCTGCATTTAAGCCCTCAGGTGTCTGTCGTCTGTGGCCACAGGAGGGCAAATTGAATGTGATCTTAATCTGCTGAAGGGGCGAACTGGACAGCTTGTTAGTGTGCAATTGGGACATCTTAGCCACCCAGCAGGGAAAGTTTAGATTTGAAAATTAAAGAAAATGACAAACTGCCAAATATTTAACATGCAGTGTTTGTAGCTGCCAATGAAAGAGACAGAAATGGGATGAGAAGCGGAAGAGAAGAAAGAATAAAATGAAAGAGAAGGGACAGAGTGGTGCCAGACTTCAAGTGTCACCAGAAAGGGGCTAACTGAGCCCTGGGAAACAGGCCGGCTGCAAGAAAAATGGAAAATGAAAGAGAAAGTGAAAGAAGTGACAGACAACCAGGCAGGCTAGAAGAGGAAAAGCAGGACACTTGGAAGCATCCTTCACTTCCACATTTAATTTAAATTGAATCAGAGGAGGAGAACGCCAGACCACCGGAAGACCGGGCAGAAGAGAGAGTGTGTTAGAGATTAGTGGCGATAACGGCAGAGAAGGAGGGAGCGAGGGATAAGCATGCTGCGTGGTATTAGAGGCGTAAGCTCCGTCTGGTATTTTTAGTGTGGATGGTCCCTTAGTGACAGAAAGAGAGAACCACTGTGAAGACTGAGGAGGAGAAGAATACCAGAGAGGAAGAGGACACGACATGAGGAGGGATGGAGCTGAAGGAATAAGGCTGCTGTTGGAGGGAAAGGGGAGGAGCTTGTGTGGCTCTGTCTGAGCTTGTTGTGACTGTAAGAGTGTTTGTGAGTCACTGCCTCGCCTGGATAAGTGTGTGTACCTGTACTGTACAACACTGTCCACAGTACACATCCTGCAAGCATCAGGAGCTCGCTTTAACGTCCGCCCTTCCTCACCGCCTGGGTCCGGGTCACATGACCTGTCGGTGGATATTGTTTGACTCAGAGCTTTTAGCCAGAGCGGTGCAGACTCATTGCTTCCACACAGCTGAGATTATTCAAACCTGCGTTGGCGCTGTCTGGCACAGCTGAGCTATTTTAAGAGACGGCAAAGAACAAGCGAAGACGCTTCATAAAAATGTGCGTTTAGTCTGTCAGCTGTGAGGACGCAAGCAGGACACTCCTTTTATTTTTTTTTTGTATTTGTTGTTTTTTTATTGCCGGGATGTGTAATCTTATGTCACATGTCGAATACCAGCCAGTTGAGAGCTAAAGAGCAGCCAGTGGGCTCTTATTAAGCACTCACCTGGATCTGAGCTTCAGTTGTGATCCAGGCCTGGCTCAGTTGGGCTCGTCATCTCATGGCTGTTACACGAACAGACTCGTGCACTAATGAGATGACTGATTCCACTCAAGCTGGTTTTCCTGTCAGTATTTCATTAAAGTCCACCTCAGCTCAAGTCCTGGCCTTTTCCTCAGTTTTCTTCTAGCTAGCAGGATTGTTTTTACAAAAGACAGCTGTGAAGTTTGTGTGTGCATCTTTGGGGAAGGAAACCTGTGATATCAGTAAGCTGGTGGCACTGCTGGAAAGCAAAAGAATGCATGGGTGTTTGCAAAGCGTGGCAGAACAAGCCTTGATTGTATGAGTGCTTTTGTTTTCGAAACATTCAGGGAGTGGATTACATCATCCTTAAATGGACGTGGCTGGAGCGAAAAAAGACATTTTTATTCTAAGAAACGACATCACTGTGGGACACGTGCACTTCCCTTCTAAAAATTTCCTTTAAAGGAGTCAGCTTTACGAAAAACACAATCTGTCCCTCCAGGATTTTCCTTGAGAGGTTCCTGCGTACGCATTGAAGAGGAAAGGCAGAAATAAAAGAGAGAAAACAGAGGAGATGAACACGACAGCTCCCCTGCAGCTCTGCAGAGCCACCGTCAGCTGCAGTCGGAGAACACACCGTCTGTTGTGGCCTGCAAACAGAGGGCGAGCGAGCTACAGAATAAGTGACACAGAGAGAGAGAGAGTCGTAGCTTAGTGAGGAAGTGAGATTAGGGAGTGAAGGAGGCTGTCCTTTTCATACTCAGGGGAGGAGCTGCCAGCTGACTTTGACACACACGTGTGTGAGAGCAACTGCGCTTGGGAAAGAGTGACTGTAGGCCGGAGACATGGCAGCGACGGCAGGGATCAAGGGAAGAGGGAACGGGTGAACCACAGAGAGGGGGAGAGAGCGGAGCTGAGACTGAAACTGGTGGTATCGGCCGGTGCGCTCCTGTCGACCACGGCTTTCAGTTTTGGATACATGGGGACAGCTTGTTACCAAAAAGACGTCTCACTGCTATCATTATCTGACTTCTGTCTCGGATTATGCGTCACTGACATCAATTCAAGGTCTGAGTAGAGGCGGAGGAGTGAAACAGTAGAACATGTGGCCCGACTACAGGAATGAGTGTAACCTCAACGCTCACCTGTACTCGCTCATGTGCTGTGCAGGTCAGTGTGAGCCCCTACCTGTGTGTGTTTGTGTGTGTGTACAGTTCATGTCAACAGGGAAGCTGTAGAGTGTGTGCAGTGCATGTTTACATGTTGCAGAGAGTCTCCTGTGAGCACGTGTTTATGTGTGTGTTTGAACAGTTCCCATTTGTGCACATGCCGGTGACAGCAGTTATGCTAAAGGTTGTCTCTATTAATCATTGTTCGTCTGAACGCAAAGGGTGAAGTGTGTGCACGTCCTGTGTTTAGAGAGCCTGGAACGGGGTGTGTGAGGCTTAACAATGCACTCTGCTGTGCATGTGTGTTTGCCTTTCTGTGGCTGCCGCTCACACATCTCCACATGTCTCTGGTTTTTAAATCTTATAACCCGCATATCTGGGATTACTAACCCCAGCTGCCACGCCTGGATGAACCTGATGAATCGTTACACGATCATTAAGGACTTTAGGTTTGTAACCTAAGTTTTTCCTCTGGGTTAACAAGCCGGACTACCCGGGCAGGTTTGGGAATCAAGGCGTGTGGCGGTGGTGAAACTATTTTGCAAGAGATGTTGAAATTTGCGCTCTTTGCTGAGAGGCTCTTCCGTCTATGTAAACTCCTTAGAGGGGTCACTCTGTGCGAGTCTGGGTGGGTGTGTTTTTCAGGGTTTAGGGTATCTTTGACTTTTATCCAGTTGAGATGTTTGAACCTAAAGCCTAAATCAGACTTTCTCTTTTTGAAATCTCCACAATGCTGTCGGAGCTGTTCGACAGCATTGTGGAGGTCTGAGAGGGTGTGTGTGTCACTGAGTGTGTGTTTGCATAGGTGTGGGTGTCAGACAAAGAGATAACAAGATGCTTAAGAAGGAAGTGATACTCTTTCCCCATGGTCGCGCTCTCACATGGTGGCAGCACGTAAACAGCAGATGAAGAAGTGAAGTTCCTGGAGCAACCTTTTTTCCGATTGGCTGATGCAAATTCATTCAATATAGTAGAGGGAAAAAAACTCTTCAGCTCTAATTTGTTCTCATATGATAAAGTATAATATATAAAATTAATGTAAGCATATTTTTATCTCTTTATATGGGAATTGTTTCTACTTAATTACTTTATTTCATTCCCTAATTTCTTGGTTGATTAGCTTCATCCATCTGGTCTCGTTGTTGTTTTCGGAATAAGGCGGATGTAATCAACCAGTAGTTACCGAGCAGAAACTTATGAAATGTTTTGTTTGTTTTTTTAAAATGAGAAGAGTGGGATGCAAGAAAGATGCTAAAATGTATTAATAAATAAAAAGGAAAGAAAGAAAAAGATGATTAACACAGAAATAGCAGTTCGTCAGTGATTCCCATTGTTAATATTTTAAAACTTAAAACTACTTTCTACTTTTAACTTTGACCAGAATTATAATGGATTTTTAAATTCTACATTCACATGTATCCAAATCCATGTGAACTGAAAGGATGTGGTGCTGTTTTTCCATCAGGAAGTCAGATATTTAACTGAAAGGCGGGAAGGGTCTGTGTTTCCTCCCAGACAGGCTGATATGAACAGAGGAAAGCTGAAGAGGCTCCGCGAGTCCGTATAAAAACCAGGAGGCTGTGGTTGCGGGGAGGAGATAATGAGTTGTGGGTCAGCATCAGGCTCTATTCCTGGTCTGGCTGCCTCACTCCTCTGGCCTGGGGAGGCCTGGAGCTGTGCCTGGCTGCAGGTCACACAGAAAGAGACTGAATCAGAGAGGTGGAAAAACCTCTGCAGAAATGTAACGAAGAGAGAAGGAAGCATAAAGTTTGCACTCAAAAATAACAAGTGTGGCAGAAAAGTGAAATGCTTTTTGAGCATCAGGAAAACATCTTATTTTATTAAGGGTGATGTCATCCAGATAAAATATGCATTAAAGATGTTGCAATCGTGTTTGTGGACGTTTAACGAGGCTCTTATCAACAGGACCTCCAGCTGTTCTCCATGAACTTGAAGACTGAGTCCTTTTGTTCGGTTCCATGTGCAGCTTTATAAAATGAGTGTGTGTAACCAAAAGCCACCACCAGTTTGACTGTGGGAGGTTTGAGCAGCACCTTCTTGTCATCCCATTGACAAAATTCAGATTGCAATTAAAGTTTTCAGTCATTTAACAGAAGATTTTCGTTTTTTGTATAAAACACATAATCATTGCAGACACAAACACAGTGTGACCTCTTCATCTACGTAATGCACTAAGTAATTGCAGTGGCTGCAGCATCTTTGCAGGATTTGGATTATGTAATTTACCTCTCTCTCTTTCTCTCCTTTTATTTCTCTTTGTGCAGATGAGCGGGACAGGGTGCAGAAGAAAACCTTCACAAAATGGGTCAACAAACATCTCATCAAGGTATGTGTCACTAACTTTTACTGCTGGGATTGCTCATCTGGGATTTCCAGGTTATTTTTGAATGAATGATAATAGTTCTGAGAAAAGATCTTCAATAGAAATCACACTATAAATTGTAACAACTTACATCAATCACGTTTCAATGGTTGTTTGTGTTCTGTGTATGAAATCAGTGCTCCACACTCTGACCTCGTGTACCATCTCAGACAACATTTATTTGATAATCAATGAAGTGAGCAGTCTCGGGTCATAAAGCAGCCGGACTGTACATCTTCAGTCGAGCGGGAGCAGAGTAATAGCTTCAGAAAAAGCTCCTCTAGATGTTCCGCCTGATTTACTCCTTCTGAAATTGTCCTGCAGCTCTTCATCTTGTTCTCACGTTTCCTGTCTTCTGGCTTAAAACTAACAATATATATTTTTTCCACTAAGACTTCCTGCTGGTCCCATTCTTCTCCATCCTTTTATCTGAGCTGTCAGTGCTGTTGCATCAGGCTGGTGTGTAATGATCAGCGTTAATGTGACTGTGTGCGAGCGGCACTGCTCCATCGATGGATGAGCATCTGTCTGCATCATTTAGCCCCTGTTTTATCACCGTTAGCGGCTCTGAAACTACAGCTTGTTAAATGCCTTCCCTCCCTAATGTTTAACAGAGAAAACACAGTTGAGAATGAACTGAACAAGAGTCCTAAATGAATATTTGAATGCGGTTGTGTATTTACAAATGCTTAGAGGAAGGCAGATATTTAATTATTTATGGCTAAGTTTTTGAATATGTTTGTTGATTTTTAGGGCATTAGAAAAGAAACATCCCATTTTAATAAATCTGAATGAGCAGCTGTGAGAGCCAACATTCATGTAAATGATATTCACTGTTCTTCTTTCACAATGCACGAACCAAGGTGCCATAACGCCCTGGAGACTAAATCCTCCATGACTGGATGCCTGGAGACTTTCAGTCATGCTCAAATATGAAATTCAGCTGAACGTAAAACATTTGTCGCTTAAATATATATATATATATATATATAATTATATATATATCATATATGTATATATATATATATATATATATAAACGGTTCAATACCGTATAATATATATATATATATATATATATATTCATATATTCGAACCGTTAATTATATAGTCAAATCATAACAACAGTTGCCTCAAGGAGTCATCATTTAAAACCCATGTATAGCAAACGATATGACATAGTACTGGATCTGTTATTTCTCTTTCTATAGGCCACAAACAGCTGCCCGTTCTGTCTGCATAGCGTCACATCAGCGTTCATTCACACGGTTTCTGTCACATCCATAAAGTACAGTGTGTACGCCATGTGTCACACAGGCCGTAAGGAGAATGCAGAGCATTTCTGTCACATGACCCGGGCAGGGAAACGTCCGTCTGACCCCATAACTCTGGAGCAACTGTCGTCAGAGCTGCCCAGCCTGAAAATGTAACTCTGTATCAGCTGGCGCTGCCAGGCCAACGCCGACTGTGAATGTAGGTCAGAGATGAAGAGACAGAGCGGCCGCGAGAGATGTTAATGATTTTTTTTTTTGTTTGTTCTCTTTTTGAGAGCTCAAAATTCAGCTTATATTTTCTAATGGGAGGTCACGTCATCTGTGCAGTCATACAAGTTTAAAGTGTTGTTCGAATGTTGAATTAATCAGTTAACGTCACAGAGTATTAAACTGCCAATGTGAATGAGCCGGTTTTAGTTGAGCGATGATCCGGTCTGTCACATTTTCTTGAATCTTATCGGTTTTAATCAGTGATGGTGTCTGCACAACAGTTTTGGTTTCAAAATAAGCTGAAACTCTATGTCGGGCCTTTAGGCAGAATTGATAATGAGTTGCAGCATCTCTGTTCTCTGTGACAGGAAAAATTAAATTTATTTAGGCTGTTTGTTGTTTTGTTATTATCTGTTTTCTAATTGATCAAAACACATAATGACCGATTAATCAGTTGAAATGTGTATTTTTGTATGCTTGCACAGTGCGAGCCATTACATTGGACAGTTTATTTTGAGTTGTATTAGTAAAGTGAGTTCTGACTTATTGTTTTGGTGAATTTTGTTCAATCAAAACTTACCCATAAGGACGTAAGACCTAAGAAAATGTATTGGAAACAATGCTGTGCGCTTGAATAGACAGAAGTGTGAAATAGCTGTGTGCTTTGCGTCATATATCGACTCTCAGCCAGCACTGTTAAACCTACAAACCTCCGCCCTGTCAGCTGGGAGAAATGCAGAGAAAACAAGGCTGAGCGAGGCAAAAGATGAAGAACGGAAGGCTGAATCAAAACTAAACTCTGGAGATAAAAACAAAGAGCCTGTTAAAGAAAAGATAAAGGGACGTTAGGTAGCATAATGGCTCTTCGCTTCCTGTTTGTTGTTGATGTCTGTGTATGTGCGCCAAGTCTGGTTTATTTCTGGCTGCTGAGGTGTGCTCAGGTATTCTGGTGAATACAGTGCACACAGGGGCCAATGTAAACACTGTCCTCCAGGCTACCTGCTGGCATGCAGTGACACACTTTGACCCAGCAGTTTGTTGACACAGTGAAGACAAATATGGCAGCTGTGGATTAAGAAGTCATGCAGTCTGTCTCCTGTCCATGTTAAGGGAAACTTAAGTTTTAACATCAGAAAAAACTACCCAAGAAGCTGCTGTCGGAGGAAGTCTCATTTCATACTTCCATAAAGAGGTTGGCTGAAACTGGTAATTGACTGGCACTTGGTGCTTTTCTATTCTTAATGTGCACTCAGAGTGAAAAAAGAGCTTTATTTTACAACTTTTAATTTACCAATCGTACACGTGTGTTTAGTTTCTTGCAGAAAAAACACTTAAGCATGCTGATTGGAGGAGCAGGGGTCAAACTACCAACCCTCCAACTCCTGAACTAGAGTACAAATTCTAGACACATGTTTTAGAAGAATGGATTAAAAAAACTGTTTATCTGTTACTAGGGTTGAAAGGTTGAGAAGAGGACTTAAAAATGTGTAGTTTACTTAAAAAGTAAAATATGAGGTCCTGAGGCGACAGATGTTGTGTTTCATGGACTCAAACATAGCAGCAAGCTTGTTTATGCTTCTCTCAAAAAAACGTTGGGCTCATCACTCATCGATTAGTGCAGTGTGTCGTCACCCACTCAAATGATCACGGACTGCGCCCAAGGCAAAGACTGAACTGCCACCTTATAGCACAGGTTATCCATTTCTGTGACCCTTGTGTGGCAACACACGGATTTTGTTTGTTTTGGCTGATCGTGCAAGTCCTATCACATTAAACGGCATGTCAGTCCACGAAACACGTTTATAACTGGCATCAAATAATTTCCATCATCTATTCTGTCGTCTTACTATAGCTTTCAATCCGAATGTATCCAAATGTGACAAAATGCTGTTTGAACTGATAGGTGTTGTATTTTTGTCCAAAATCAGCGTGACCTACATTTGTGTTCACTGTGCCAGAAGCTCCAGGTGCTGTCAGGCAGCCTGGGGTATTTTAACATTGGCTCTGTATGACAGTATGCTTTAGTGCCAGAAGCATCTGCTGTCACTGCACATCAGGCACAGCTGGCTGAGGGAGCGGCGTCCCTTAAAACAGCTGATCAAAAGATCAATTTGGGTTTAAATTGCAGTTTTAAATTCAGTGACAGTGGCACAGCGCTGAGCGCGGTTGCATCTTATAGCAGCTAATTTCATTTTCAATGAGAAGTAATTCCAACAATGTGAATAGTTTTACATTTTAGCCCAAAAAGTCAGGCTGAATGTTCTTTTTTTTTTTTAATCCACTAATTGCTGAGACTTTGTTTGAAAATATTTTCTGAGCTCATACGGTCAACAGCACCTTCAATGACTCTGTGGAGCTGAACTCAAATAATGTCTTTGTTTCCCCTGACAAACAGAAGAACGAGGAACCGAATTTAAACGTTGTTAGCCAAGATTTGGTTCATGCACTACTGTATTATAATATACAAAAGGCGGTTAAACTCAGTGTTAAGCTCAAAATAACAGTCCTTTCTAAGCAGAAGTCAATTTCAGATACAGATTTGTTGTAGTTATTTATGGTCTAAAAAGCTGCTGAAGAAGGTGAAGTTGTTGCAGTGCAGCAGCTAGCATGTCCATCTGAATTACTGAAAGTGACTGAAGGTATTAGGATGATGGTTTATTGGCAGTGACATGCAGAGCTTACAGTAAACTGAGGATGAGGGCTATGAACTGTGTGCCATGTTGAGCCTGTGACACACTCAGGCACTATTAGACAATAAACTGCACCTCATTTCCAGGCACTGGTGGATACACCATGTCTTCCTGTCATCTAATTAACACTCGTTACATCAGCGTGCCTCCGAAGCAGCTCGTGTCACCCTTCCACAGAGACGCGGAGGCAGCGAGAGGAGGGTGAGGAAGTGACACAGATGAGCGAGGGAGAGAAAAATAGACAGTGAAATGAGGTTTAGTAGAAGAGGTTATTGAGGACAAAGGGTGGAGTGCTGCTACTTCTGTGACTGCTGATTAAAACTGAAGCCCTCGGGGTATCTTATCTTTAACAAGAATGGGTGATAATGCAGAGTATCATTACATAACTTAACTTAAAGGTGATGTTATTTATTTTAGATTATATCTTTATTATTTGTACCTGATTCGGTGAGTCTGCAGTCATGTTCCGGCAGCCTACTCTTGTGCCTGTCTTGCCCTCTTCTGGAAAAACATGGCAGTGCATTTTCCAGGAATGCAGCAAACCCGAGTTCCTGCTGGTGCTGCGCGAAGCATTAAAAATCCCTCTAATGCAGGTGGACGTTTGTCCTTGCTTACATAAGTGGGTCTGCATTTTTGAAGCACTTTGGTCGACCTTTGCCGCCTGCCAGTTTTTCTCACTTTCCTCGCTCTTTCTGATGAAGAACGCTCGCACTGAAATGTTTTATTTACAAAAGAAAAGCTTTTGTTCTTGTTTGGCTGTGCCTTTTAAGAGTCTGTCTAGTGCCTTTATTTCAAACTGGAGATTTAGAAAGGAGGTCTATGCTGGGGGAACAACCTAGTTTTAGACATGGTTAGTTCATGTCAGGTTCAGGTCTGCTCGCTAAATTCTAATGTGCAGGGCAGGATGCCTTAATTAATATTTCACAGGTGAGAGACAAAGTTTCCACTTGTCTGTCTTTTAGAAACAGAAGCATCAAAGCAAAAATATGTGGATTTCATTCCATGTTGACAGTAATTACACTGTAAATTGTTACATCATTGCAAAGTTTATCAGTGGCAGATGGGACTGCAAGTAAAACACTTTTAACCAATTTAAGAGCTAATAAACTGTATACGAAAGATGGATGCCTCATGACATCACCTGTTAGTTGATGGGATCCACATTTAAAGCTTCAGCATTAGCATATTAGCAATCACAATGTTTTTTAATGCTGCTTTTTAATGCCGTTCAGCTGGGCACTTTAACGTGGGTATCTGTGGGGATTTGAGGCTCTAGAGGAACTGGACACCTGTTTTTGTAAAACTCCTGCATTGAATTTTTCTGCCTCGGAGGTTTCAGCATGGTGCAGCTGTCGTATTAGTCTCTTTTTTCCTCTTTCCCGTAAAGCTTTGCTCACTCTTCGCTGCTTGATCCAGTTTTCCCTCTCTGCTGAGCCTCAAACAGTCTCAGTTTGTCTGTCCGTCCATCCGTCCCACTGAGTGTCCCACTTTCACACAAAACCGCCACTGATGCTGATCGCTCTGCTCGGCCCGCTCGCTGAGTCACTGTGTCAGTGACCGCCAGCAGTGACGACCTGCTGCCACCCTGGTTTATTTCAAGGCAACATCATGGCAACGGAGACAAGAGGGCACAGCTGGTGCTTCATCTCTGTTGGCCAGGCAACCACTGTCACCAGGCCTGTCAGCTGTGGGGCAATCAGCCTGACAGATGTCAACAGAGGGATGACTGCAGTGTAAAATTAACTTTTTTTCTTTTTCTTTCTCCCTTTACTTCCTCCTCCCTGTTCATTTCCTGTCTGTCCCTGCTCCCTCTCTCCTTCCTTTACATCCCTGCCTCTCTCTTAGGTGAGGAAGCACATCACAGACCTGTATGAGGACCTGAGAGATGGACACAACCTGATTTCCTTGCTGGAAGTCCTCTCTGGAGTCACCCTGGTAAGGGATTTTTATCTCTGACACACACATTCATCTCGTATCTCACTGCGATATTTTCCATCACGCACACGCTGTTGTTCCAATTCCAAGCATACAAATCCAGGGACTGTTATGTAAGCCGGTTTCACACATGACTTCTTGGGCAATTTTGGGACAATGATGTCGGGACATCGTCCTCAGTTTCCCTCCTGTTTTTGATGATGATGTAAGAATCTACGAGTCAGTCTCTGAATGGTCTAGTTGCAGACAGGTAGATTAATGTAAAGGGACTGCTGACTCAGGTCTGCAGGAGCACACGCACACAGGGGACAGTGTCACCTGACGACGTCACCTTCAGGACATCAGATCGGATTGAGGGAGACTGACAGCGCAACAGTCAGACATAATAAGTGTTTCATAGAGAAGAGGACAAACTGTGATGAGGCCATCACCATTTCCTCACTGTTGTAGAGTCTCACTAATTAGGGCTTTATCCACTGCCCTTTTTTTGAGCTTCAGAGCCGCTGTGGGGGCATTAAGTTGTATAATTTCCTAACTGCAACAAAATTAGCTTCAGCATAACTTTGGCATTTACCTGTAAAATTATTTCTTATAGAGAAAGTTGGAAGCAGACGCAGGTCTTACTTTTCCCCCTCACACTTTCCAAGGCCTCGCCCAATAAACACAACAGCAAGAGAGAGCTGTTCCTGTGCCTGTAGAGCAAGATGTAACACAGAAGGAGGATACTGTCCATAGCTTCTTTGCTAGCCCTAATTTAATAATAAAAATCTGTTAGAGGTGTAAAAAGAGGCTAAAGTTAGCAGCGATGAGGTGAACTGAAGCATAATAATCACTTCTGTGATAGAGAGGGATGTTCAACAAGTAGGCTATCCAAATCAACTACATATGAAACAAATATTCAATACTAGACTATTTGTATGCAGGCTTAGCTGTGATGGAATTAGATATTAAAATTCCTGTTTTTCCATATCCAGACATTTCTGCCCGTGTGCATTTACAGGTGAACTTTCCAGGATGAAGTGCACTGCTTTTTTCCTTGTTTCATCTCTTAACCTTTGGTGTAGAGAGAGCTTAGTTGTTGCATCACACCAAACCACAGCTGTCACTGTGTCCTGGCGTCCGTGTCAAACCACCAGAGGTTAACACGACGGTTTCACGTGGTGTGCTGCAACTATTTGAGGTTCATGCATGAACGTGTAAAGAGTCATTGACTAAACAGTCCTACCACAGAGTTTGTTTTGTAGGCTTCAGTAGATGGACGTGGGCCTGTCAGCAGACGGATGTGCCCAGCTGATTTGAATTGTCTGTTTATGCTGAGTGACCCTTTTGAGCCATTTATATTCTTTCCTTAATTTACAGCTACTGAGCTTTTGTTTCATCCTCATTCTGTTCTGTTATTCAGCCGTTCTCATCCTGCATCTCTTCTTCCTCTCTGTTTTTTTTTTTTTTCCCCCTTTCCTCTTCTTGTACATTTCCACCCTTCTGTTACCATAGCAACAGAAGAGCGGCCCTCCATTGAAAAGGGCATACGCCTCGCGGGCCCCCCCTCTCATCTCGCTCGGAGGGGAGGATGAGGAGGAGGAAGGAGCTCAGGGAGTATGTTCGAACTCGAAGCCCTCTGCCCCTCCACCCGCCACCGCTCACACTCTCACTCCTGACCTTTGACCCCTTCAGCTTCACACTCTGCCCCCATAGGCGGAGCTGCGAGGCTGCATGAGAGTGCTGTGCCACTGACTTTTGACCTACAAAACTGTACATGGCACGAGTCAGTGCTGCATTACTGTGTCACTACAGGGCGTCGCCATTTCTGTTGGGTGATAGCATCGATACTCCTAGTTAAATTTTCCACTTTCTTCTCTTTGACTGTTAGATTGATAAATATATAAATAAATATAAAACGAAATATCATAAACTTTCAAAAACAGCGTTATTAAAGTGTGTTTTCACTCAACAGATAGCTGCTATTTTGCATGTCACAGCAAAATGTAGTGTATGCAGAAGTGCCTGTACCTGCATTGTTTCTAATGGCCAGCAGGTGGCGGCGACTATGATAGCAAAAAGAAGTCAGATTGTGTTGAAGTCTATGGGAAGGTTAGCCTACTTCTCATTGGATTTATGGGCACTGTAAACAATTTCCTGGTTAGTTTATGATGTCAGTCGATTTTAAATCTTAGGGAAGACAAGATGATGATCATTTTCTAAATTATGGTCCGACTGAGAGTAAAATAGAAGATAAAAAGGAGTATGGTGCAGCGCGTGGTTGCCTCATGGTTAAGAACTCATTTTTGTAAGAAGTTCCTCTGTGAGATCCACACTGCATATGATACCTAGTTTTTAAAAAAAACTGCATCCATCTTTTATGTATAGTCTGTGATATGACACAAATATTTCTTACTTCTATTTAATTTATAAAGCAAATCTGTTTCCTTTGAAGAGTAAAGATGAAAATGATCAAAACTGAGTCCAGGAACTCAAATGTCACACAAATTGTGAATAATTTTAAAAAAATTTAAAGTATTTCTTTCTCATTGGGCAAATGGTGTTAAATTCTGGGCGCATTATAAATTTTCCATTAGCAGTTGATTTATTTTAATTGCAGTTTTCCTCGTGATGTCTTTGTGCTGGCCAGTAAATAAGTGCATCCCTGTTTAATCCTGATTGAATTTTACATACATTAGAAATGTAGCTTTGTACAGACCACGGGTGGGGAAAAAAGGTAAAATGTAAGATTTATTATATGTCAGTTAAATAATACAAACACAGTAATGAATAAAGTAGAAAAAACTCTCCTCTCCTTTCAGTCTGTAATGATTAATCCTGAGTGAACCTTCTCTTTACCAGCACGGTGTGAACCATATCTGCATCCTGCACTTTACTCATCTACTCCTTACAGCCAAAGTGTGTGTGTGATTGTGTGTGTGATCTTTCTTTCTCTTAAACTCCGTCTTTTCTCCATCTAAACTTCAACTTGGATGTTTGTTTGTGAAAATCTGTTTACGATTAAAGAAAAGACGGTCTGATGTGAAGTCTGCATTTTTAATGCTAAACCAGCATGGTTTGAGCCTCCACAACGTTGGCATGTCTTTAACGGCTCCTGTTGAAGACAGCGCCCTCCAGAGGATCATTTCACATCAATAAAACTGCTCTGTGTTTTGACCTCACTGCACTGTTGATTGAGATCGGCTTTATTTGCACTCACTGCTGCCTCCTTTGTGTTTTCTCTGTCTTGAAAAACACTGAATTTAATTTCCTGTTTCACCATCTTTACGATTCTTATCTCTGCTCTCTTGTTGCAGCCCAGAGAAAAGGGCCGAATGAGATTTCATCGACTACAGAATGTCCAAATAGCGCTGGACTTCCTCAAACAGAGACAGGTAAGCTCACATGTGGACACACACAGCATTTGTCTTCATCACCCTTCTGAAGGATAAATAGTTTTATTATTGGCTTGATAACCCTTTTATAAAACAGTACTGTCCTTAATTTGAGCACATGAGTTAATTCATTTCTATATAACAGCTGATCAGGGGGAAAAAGTAGTGTTCGATTCCAGGAAGAGACACAAGTCTTCTTTTAGGGTTAGCGGCTGAAAGTAGCTTCAGATATGCTTCAAATTGTCTTTTTTTTTTTGCAAAACTTAACATCAGTACATTCTACATACTAGTATATTCTCGCAGCACGACAGCTATCTTAAGAAACCACTGGAAGGTTATTTTGAATAATTGTTTTTCCCTCACAAGTTTTTCTTCCGCTATTTATGCACAAATTTCATCATGTTGCATCTTCATTAGCAGCTCAGAGAAACGGCACGGTGACCGTCTCCCACGAGAGTACTGAACAAATGTCCATGCTAACTCTCAGTACATGAAAAACATGCAATTATCTTTGCTTTCACTGAGATAATGATTCAAAAGATCATTTCCCCACCCCACAGCTGACACGATCATGAATCTCCACTGTGCTCATGTGTCTACGCAGTAACATGGTTAGCTAATGTGTTACACATTAAGCTCTCAGGGGACACAAGTGAGATAGCTGCTGGTTTTAATGTCACTTTTAATGCCATATATTTCAATAATAATGTATACCAAGGTAAAATATTTCAAAATCAAAGGAAGTGGTTTGTATGTAAAGTATCATTAACAGTGAAGTTCAAAGGTGTTTTAATTTATGTGGCAGCGCAGGCTTGAAGTAAAAATGGTTAACCTGCAGTGCCGTATCTCCTCCTCATGCTGTCTTTTATCACACAGCATCATCTTTTTTATCTGCTCCTCTCTGCTTTCATCTCTTCCATTGTTTCCTTCCTCCCTCTCTTGCTGCCTCAAATTAATCTCTCACTGTTTTGCTGCCAAACTGCAGCTCTTCCTCCTCCTTATCTGAACAGTCCCCATCTTTCTTAAACCGCCTCCCTTGTCTCCATCTCATTCCCCAGAGAGAGGAGGACTGACCTTTTCTTCTTAGTTTCATCGCAGGTCTAATTATGCAGACCGGATAGCTGAGCTTAGGCGGAGCTACATGATTTAATAAGGTCTCAGAGAGCTTTGTACAATTAATGAGCATGATAGGTGAAGGGGAGACTGTTCTTAATACTTGCAAGGAAAAAAGAATAAGTTATGTTTTCTCTTGTCTTGAATCCAGTCAGGTGCCTTTGTGTCAGAAACAAATACTCTGGTCTGTTTTCTAGGTCAAACTTGTGAATATCAGGAACGATGACATCACCGATGGGAACCCCAAACTGACATTAGGACTCATCTGGACCATCATCCTTCACTTCCAGGTCTGTGTCCTTCACTTGGCATCTTTGTTTCTGGCGCTCTGTGTTCTCCTCTGATTTGTAGCCGATGTGGTCAAACCAGCATCTGCAAAGTCCTTAAAGTCAGCATTAGAGGGACGTAATGGGCAGGAAGGCTTTAGAATGATGTAATACCACTAATTAATTACATAATAACCAAGTTATGGTTTGCATCATTACTGCTAACTGGGGTTTAAACGGATTGGTCCAAATATCGGCATTACTCTGAGTCAGGATTAGAGTTTTATTGCTGCCATGTTGAGCTTGGCTGGACATTTGCATCCTGGCAAACTGGTTTGTAGTTATGAAACTGAAGAATTGTTTGAGTGGTTAAAACAAAGTGTGTTTGTGTGTGTATTCATGGTCTGCTGTGGAATCTGATCAAGATGCATTCTGGGTATTAACTGCATTCTAGTTTTCTTTAGTGCCTCAGTAATCATCGAGCAGATTCATATACATTATATTGTTTTGCCCCAATCTGAACAAGGCCAGGTGCACTAAGGCACTCAGGCTTATGTGTGACTTATGTATAACTGATGTTATTGCCCTAAGTATATGTAAGCTCTGAGCCGGGCCTTGCCGGAGTGCTTCATCTTAAACCCAACATAAGGATTTACTTTGGAGCACACAAAGCAACATGTTAAGGTTCCATCAGGGCCCTTATCCTTTGCTATCTGTAATATTATGTCAAAGGCAGCTTCAAAGTTAGACCACGAGTTACTGTGTGAGAAGAAGCAATAAATAAATTGCAGTGTGTGCCCTTTTCTCTGGTGTTGGATCAGGAGTTGATGTTATTAGCTAATGATATATTTAGTTTTAGGGGTTAGTTCAAATCACAGATGTTTTACACTGAAGCAGTTTTGACTAAGATTGCTAGACATTCTTTGCATTGCTATCAAAAACATTCAAAGTGAATATAAATGTCTAAAGTTTGGACCGCAGAGCTCAACAGTGTGCAACTCGTGACTGAATGTTGTCTCAAGGACAGCTTGTTTAGTCTAGACAGCCGGCTCTTGGGATCCTGACGTAGAATCATGTCCACCAAATGTTTCTGCACCAGTTTTGCCTGCAGACAGCGTTGTTCTCTATTAAATCATTAGTGTGGGTTGCCTTGTACCGCTGGGCCCGAGTCATGCGTGACAACAAAGCTAGAAACCAAAGCAAGACTTTTGAAATCGATCAAAACTTTTTCCGTGTCCCTGTTTCTTATTTTCATGCCATGGACTCAACTCTTTGCTTTTGTCATATTCAGTACTGGACAGAAAGGAGAAGCTGCAGTTGTCTCAGTCGGCCACTAGGTTGTGCTGTAATATGACCCTCAGCAGGGTGACATTGCCAGCTGGTTGCCATAGAAACAGCAATGCACGACACCCCTGCATGACTCAGCAAGACATCAATGAGTTTGATAAAGAGATGAAGGGTGAAAGAGTGCTGGAGGACGGGACAGGGATGTGAAGCGGACTGCAGGAGCTCCGGACGGAAGAAATGAACAAGTGCTAAAAATGAATCAGTGGGAAGGAGGGAATTGGCTCACAGCAGCAGATAGTTTGAGTTTCAGGAGTTCAGCGAGTTCACTAGATGAGGACAGTTTTTAGAGCTGGCGTGGGAAACTCCAGTCACATGGCTCTGCTGCCGGACTCGGACTAGCTGGACTTGATTTAGTGCTTGTCAAATAAACAGAAAGTGTTACCACAAGGCCCTAGAAATTTCAAGGTTACCAATATTATAAAAACTATCCTAACAAAAGGAGACATGGGACGAAATGAATGCACATTAAAATGTTTTGCTTTGCGTTATTTTTTTGTCTTCATAGAGCTGTTTTGGGGGGATTTTTATTTTTTTATTTTTTTATTTTTTTTTAAGATTTTAGACAGTTTCTTTTCCTACTGTTGGCTCTATGTGATGTCACTGAGAGCAGGTATAACACGGTCATTTTAGGCATGCAGTTCTAGATATAAGCATAGAAGCCCCACCCACTTGCTGCTCAAACCTTCTGTTTGTGAGGAGCAGCCAATCGGAAGAAGTAGCCTTAAAGGGGGAGGGGCTAATGCTCTTTGTTTCAGATGCAGGATGAACGGAGTGCTTGGAAGTAGCCTTAAAGGGGGAGGGGCTAATGCTTGATGCAGGATGAACTGAGTGCTTGCATCAAAACCCAATATGAGAAATGAAATCTGTGAGCCATGCAAAGCAACTTAAATGAGCTTAAGACAGAAAACAAAGAGCTGATATTAATTCTGCTTATGAATATCAGAATTTTGGAGGGGGAAAAATAAGCTCAACTCTGCCCTGAAGCTTCTTGCGTGGCCAGAGTGCACTATCAGGAGCATATCCCACGAAACAGCATTTACTGTAGAGGAGTGTTAATCATGGCAGCTGTTAAACAGTGACAGAGTAGGTAGGGAGTTTAGCCTAATGTTGCTCAGTCCTTAGGCTCAATTAAAGCCAAGAAATCAGATAATAATGTACAACAGTTACAAAAAATATCTTCATGCAATGATTGAGATGGTTTTTTAATAAGCCACTCATCATAACAACATGAAAACAGAAAATGAAAGAAGTGTGGTCCACAGAAGGGAAATGTGTAACGTTTACATTATTTCCACTGGTCGTTTTGGACTGATGATGATTATAATGAAGATGAAGAAGTCGTTTTTGGAAAGAAGCCCTGCAGGTCTTTGAGACCAGGACGTGTGCAAATGAGTGACTCAGCACATCGGCTAATTATAGGAACTCTCACCGGGCTATCATTTTAGCAATTAGCAATTTAAGTTGCTTTACTAGCACATGAAGATACAAATGAGCCTCAGTCTGTTTTATCTCAGAAAACCTCAACTGTCCAGCTTTAGACACATCTTCTCAGTGTTTATACGCTAATGTGTGGCTTCCTTTTTGTTCTCTTGAATGTCCAGATGAGGACTTTGTTAGTCCTTCTTCTCTGAGATGGGGATAAAAGTTTTTTTTTTAAACTTGTTTTCTCATATCTGTTGTACTGGGATTGTAGAAACATCCAAAAACACCTCTTAAACAATTATCAACAGAAAATGATCCTAAAACTAATTATTAGAATTTCTGATTTGCACTAGTGAGTCCTGGTTGTAGTTACCCTGCCAGACCACTAGATGTCACAGTTAAGCTCCGTATCGCAGATGGTTGTGTTTGTTATGGATCCTCCTCCAGCTGCACTGTGTCTGGCTGTGATTGGTCAAAGCAGCTTTGTGTGACTGCCAGTGAGTTCATTTTCAAGAAATTTTTAGTTTCATTGCCCTGCTGCAAGACAGGTGAGCAGGCGGGCTCAGTTTGTTGTGTCTTCAGAGGTAGTCATTATGGTTTTATTGAACAGGTTGATCATCATTTGTGTCGGATAAATCTGACGGCCGTGTGAGCTGCAGTTTAATTCTCTAAAGTAAAAAATGATCTTCTGTTGGTTTAAAAGGGCTTGCATAGCTCCTGGCTTCACCCATCTATTTACATTATTCTGATTATTATTCTGATTGTTCTGTGCAATCATAATAATAATACACAAGCTGACATTAAGAGTTTCAGAATACCAAAGAAAGGGATTTGGGCAAAATCGTCAACACAAAAATCTCTTTGTCTCTTTAGTTGTGCTTTGCAGCATAATGTGGCAACAGCTGGTCACGAGCCTTCCAGTATTTTATAAACATTTATCATTAAGGGTCAACATCTTAAAACATCTTCAAATCTCTGTTTAAGAGGGCGTCATCGTCTAAAGAGCTGCTAAATATATTATTAGAGCTTCTGAGATTTGTATGTAAAGCTGGGTTCAGCAGGCAACGCTTGCGGCCTGAGATTTCCAGGGCTCACGATGGCATGTCGCCACCACGAAGGGATGAAAGCCTCTGGGACTTGATTAGTGCTTTCCTCCTATTGGTTCATGAATTTTCCATGTGCGTTTGTGTGTTCGCTTATGCTTGTGGTTAATGAGTGAAGATGGATTACCGCTGGCCTCACCGCCACTCGGGAGTATTGCATTTTTGGAGGTCTCCATCCATATGTGTCTCTGTGAAAGCATTCACCATAGATCAGGCAAATGTTGTGTGTTCAGACGTCTGCAGTGTTGGTGCCAGTGACTGATGAATCTTTCTCCTGCAGAGTTATTGCCATGCTGTACTGTACAGAATCACGTGCATAAGCGGTTTTATTCAACTTATGTGGAGAGATGGTGGGTGGAAGTGGCCTATAGAGGCTTAAAAACTGTAGGTGGGGGAGGAGGGGGGGATAAAAATGTGTGCGTTTGAATTAGAGCGATTGATGACTGTTTTGGGTTGGAAATATGGATCCGATTTCAGTGGAATTTTATATTGAGGGCTAACGCTGAGTATTTTCTGTCAGTTAGAAAATAGGATGCATATCGAAATTTCCCAAAACTCTAAAAATCCATCTGATAATCAAAGAGATTAAAGCTGTTGCAGTCTGTGCGTGCACGTTTTTCATTGCTGAAATCATTTGTGTCAAAGCATTAACTGTTTATGGGTTTTAACAGCCAGATTGAAAAGGAGGATTTTCCAGCAAATCCACTGGATTAACTGCCCTTTAAATCCAGGTACTTCATCACTTTAATGCAAAAATGCTGCAGCTTCCATATGGCTGTAATTGTGCACAGACTGACCTGATACAGCTATTGATATTGAAGGCTTTGCTCGGTCTGAATTGTGCAGAAGTATCTCTGTTATGATGAGTCTGTGCCTCCATTTCACTCCCCTCTTGGATTTTGCTTCCTCCCTGCATCCTTATAGTTCTCTCTTTTTTAGCTCTCCCCTGATTCCTTTAAATTTCTCTCCTCACTCCTTCCCTCTTCCCCTTCTATGACATTTTCCCCACACCATTCATAACCTGTAGCTTCACAGGCAGGTGGAGATTGAAGGGAATAGATGGAGAGAGAGAAATTGAAATGCTTACCAGCTCCTCATTTATTATCACAGATGCGACGGTCTGATTCCGATTTGATTTCTCTCCTGTCTGCCTGGATGGCTGTTTTTTGTCTCTGTCCCTGTTGCAGCCTGTCATTCAGGAAAGCTTTTGGGTCAAGTGTGTGTGTGTGTGTGTCTGTGTGTGTGTGTTTGTAGCATGGAAAGCTGCTCACTAACAGCCAAGAGAGAGAGCTAGAGAGAGAG